CACTGCTAAATTAGGGACGGCTAGCGCTGATAGCCTTCGTGTAGCTTTGCGCGAAATTCAAAACAAACCCTCCTGAAAATGTGAAGTTTGTAGTGCCATCTAGTTCATTGTCATTTTGTTCAACAGTTTTTAAACAACAGATATTTTAACAATCATAGCCATGTATATTGTTAACTACCACATGATTATTTATTAACTAAAGGAGAAGTCACGTCAGATATTCCTCAGTTCACATGCTTCAAACTTTAGAACACAAGCTATGCCCACTTAGTTAATTTTATCATGTTAACAAATTCTAACATTATTTTCTTTTACAAACGTGCCTGTTTCTTACGCAATGGTCGTCTTTAGTTCTATCATACATCATCACAACTGATCTGACGGATCAAAATGAAATCTATAACGTTAAACTTGGTCTGAAAATAAATTTGTTCATGTTAAACCATGTTAAAGCCAGTGTTTATGTAATACTTTTCATTTTGCCAGATCAACAAAACTGTAATCACTGTAGTGCAACATATAGAAACAAAACTGGTTTCCATCACCCCTCCGTTTCTCCAAGTTGAAGCAACCCTCTCTTCTACAGGCGGGCAATCCAACTTCTGAGTTTGGTGGCGATGTCGTCCTCGATCACATGTTTTCTTGTTAGGACCTATACATGCAGCGTAAGCCATGGCGTGAGGAATGTAAGTTTGTTCAAACACTCCCCTGAACAGGTGAGCCATAGGTCCATGGGCGTATACTGGAACATCTTCTCCTCCATGAGTGTCCCATCTCCTGGGGACTGCTGACTGTTGCACATAATTTTTATCTCCTGTAGGTAGGAATAAAGCAATTTAATCGTCAATTTTGATACGATTAAATTTTTACCTTTTATTTCTTCTTTTTCTGTGTACGTGTTCTTAGAATTTCTATTTGTGATATCGTTGTAGATAAAACATATTTGACTGAATCGGGCAGACAAATAGTTAAGCCAGTTCAGCTTTAACCTTTTATCTTATTTATATACAGATGATTAAAAATTGTAGAGAAACTTAACTCCTGCCAACGTGAGCTAGTCATTCCAGAAAGGTTTGGGTTGTTTTGATTAGACAAAAAGAAGAGGTTTAGGTCGCTTGACCTGACCCGATACCATGAGGGCCAACATGGCGAAGTTAACTTGTAAATGTAAAGTAAAATGATGTAGCAAGGAAATGTTCTGGATGTGGTTGTGAATATGGTGGTTTAAATGTAGCAGTTAAGCTTAAGTGTGGATCCAGGTCGGATGAGGGAAGAACTTATCCCAATCAATTTGACATATCAACTGAATCGGAGATTCTTCAATTGCTTACTGCATTGACAGTGAAAAATCAAAATCAAACGGCCACAATAGTATCGTTATCTTCAAAAAAGGGTATCTGAATAATATTTAAGAAATTATTACTTTCAATACTTTTTGAATCTAACGGCACAGTAAAGACTAAAGCTGTAGTGTTGAAGCTGATACACGATGTATCACAAAATGATTTCCCTAGCGATTCTCAAGGAAAATGCCATTTCTGCAATGAATAGTAAATAAGAAGGATGGTATAATGTCTATTATTGTACCATCATAGTATAATCCATATGGATTTTATCATATCATATTTTCATTAATATATATTTGATTTTGTTTTCATTTTAAAAGTTGTGCCAAGCTTCTTTCATCGAAACCTATCGAAATAACCCTAAATTACCATCTGAGGCTCAGTACTAAAAAATGCTGGGCTGGCTCGTGTGGCAGGTGTCAAAAAATTGAGTATTTAAAAAAATAAATTATATACAAATTTATAATTCATAATATATATATATAGAACAAAGCCACATTGGGGTATCTATTGTGTCCACCATGGGGAATCAAACCCCAGTCTTAATGTTATAAGTCCGTAAACTTACCGCTGTCTCGCCGAGGGGAGATTGGATGCCATAATGTAATTGCTGTTTAAATCGAAGTAAAGCCGTGGTTAAGTTAGGCCTAATCCTAAAAAAATAGAACCATGAAATCCTTACCAGTGTCTACTCCCGTGAGGTTTTGTCGACCTAACGGGAAGTTTCTGTTATAGCCTGGTCCATTAGAATACAAAAGAGTCGTGTACGGTAAGCCATCTACATCAGATACATGATCATCAGTGCCTATTATAACAACAAGAAGAAATTTTAAAATAACTATGCAAGTTTTAACCAGTGATTTTAAATGATAGGACACAAAATATGTCTATTTATTCTATTATGATTTCTGTCTTAAACCACTTTCCTTGTATGTAAAGTACTGACGCAAGCCTAAGTAACAAATCTAAGATCGTGTAAAATTTATTGGCGTTTCTTTTTTTTTAACGCCATCTGTGAATACCATAAAAACGTATGAAGCCGTAAAAGAAGATATGTGGGCACTTCCCACAATGTCTTAAACGAGTAATTATTTCTTGAACGAGTAATTATTTTTTGAACTTTGTATTCAAACTTTTAAGAACAACAGCTGTCTTTAGTTGCAGATCACTTTGCGCAGTAGATGAAGTTAAGCGTTAAAATCAAATGTTTGCATTGCCTTAACAACAAACAAGAAAAGAGTGACAACTAAGGCTGCATTTAATTTGATGACGCACACATTTTACTGCAGTTTTTTACTGCATTATTTCACTCTAATTCCATATTCAATCTATTATAAATAAATCTTATATTTACATACGCTTTAGCTTTAAATTGTAGCACTAAATTATGCAAATGTTTTTATATAATTTATCTGCAGAAACAAAATCAAAACCTGATAACTTTCACTCTTTGTTTACTTTATCACAATGGGCTATATGTACTGCATACGTCGCTGGGATGGAACTCCGAATTCTAGCATTATAAAGCCTCAAGCTTCCCACTGAGCCACTAGGGGGACAATGATATTTAGTGATAATTAATATCTACGCTTGAACTAATGCTGTAGTAATAAATAAGGAAATAGATAAACTAACATTCTTGGTGTTTGGGGTCTGGTCCAAGTAGTGGCATGATAGGCACTAAGGCGTTAAGTGAGTAGTAGGTGAAACACTGTTTTTCTATGTTTACCTTCAACTACACAATTAACTTAAAATATACAGCGCAATAAAGTAAAAAAAATTAAGAAGTTGACTGATTTTCATTTGGTTCTATATTTATATAGAGAATCAATATCTCGTAAAGTTAATAACACTTTGGGCAGAGCGTGGCCCATTGGTTAGTGTGCCGGATTGTGAGTTCGAGACTCCATGGTTTTCGTCCCGTTGCCGCAAAATCATTTTTCACACTTTGGAGCCGTGGGTGCATTATAAAAGTGATGGTCAAATTCCACTGTTCATTTAGAGTAACAAAGAGTTGGCGGTGGGTGCTGTTGACTAGCTGTTTTCCTTCTAGTCTGTTAGTCCACAATTATAGATGGTTAGTGAAGATTGCCTTTGTTTAGCTTTGATTGAATGTCCGAAACAAATAAATAAAAGTATTAGGTCGTCAAGAAATTAATGTTGCGTTTTGGAACACTTTCATTAATCACCCCCAAAAAACGTACATACGTATAATAGTTAAACGAACCGCCTAAACGTCACGTTAGTGTAGCCTATATAATGTGTAAAGTTTAGTTTATTCTACTCCCTTATAGTGATGGCACACGACGAGACACACACACACACATTCGGCATGTAATGCTGTTTGAATATAAGAAGGGAAACAATGCCTCTGTAGCCACAAAGAATATCATAGAAGTTTATGGAAATGTTTTGAACGTTCGT